AGAGACACGCACGCACGCACACGGGAGAGAAACCGTACGCGTGCGATATATGTGAGTACAGGAGTTCTCGGCTGGCGAGTCTCCGGATCCATGCGCGCACGCACACGGGAGAGAAACCGTACGCGTGCGATATATGTGAGTACAGGAGTTCTCAGCTGACGAATCTCCAGATCCACGCGCGCACGCACACGGGAGAGAAACCGTACGCGTGCGACATATGTGAGTACAGGAGTTCTCGGCTGGCGAGTCTCCGGATCCACGCGCGCACGCACACGGGAGAGAAACCGTACGCGTGCGACATATGCGGTTACGCCTGCACCACCTCCGGCAACCTCAAGCAGCATTTTCTCACGCACACGGGCCAGAAGCCGTATGCGTGCGACATCTGCTCTTTCAGGTTCGTATCCTCGAGCGAACTCTCGAGACACAAGCGCACGCAGTCGCACCGACGAAAAGCCATGTACAAGAATCGGGAGTGATGTGATGGACGGGTCTGTGGATTAAACAGGTAATTCATCAGACATTAAACGTGTGGATACGGATGCACTCTCTCCAGTAGACTCCAGTGACGTACACTCAGGCTTGTATGAGAGAAGAAATCCTGAAAGGCGATGTGCATGCAATCAGGGGTGATGTGACTGACATTCTACTGATTAAACAGCTAATTCGTCAGAAGTTAAACATGTGGATACGGATGCACTCTCTCCAGTAGACTCGAGAGACATTCACGCTCATACAAGTGAGAAAATCCTTGAAGCCCCTCAAACAGTTCTCCACTATCTCTCGCTCTCTCTCTCCCCTCCCTCCTCTCTCTCCCCTTTCTCCCCTTCTCTCGCCCTCCCCCTTTCTCTCTACTCCTGCTTACCAGTGAGAACGTGAGTGTAGTGGTGGATGTCATTCAACACCAGCCCGTCTAACAGCTCTCCCCCTCCTCTCCTTCTCTCTCTCTCTCTCCCTCCCTCTCTTCCTCGCTCCCGCGCTCTCTCCCTTCCTCTCTACTCCTGCTTACCAGTGAGAACGTGAGTGTAGTTGTGGATGACATTCAACACCAGCCCCACGTACAGTTTTCCCAGCTGCTCTAGCACTCTCTCTGCCGGTCGCGTTTGGTTCTATTTTGTTTTGTTTTTCGATCCGTCACCAGTTCGTCGCATTCGTAGGTAGTGGCGCCTCCTGGCGGTTGCGCTGCT